CACGAGCACGAAGTTAACACCATGAATTTACTCGGCGTCTACATGTACTCCGTATTTTGACACAGTACTGAAGGAAAATTACTAAATAACTGTATGATAAAGTTTCATTAAAATCTATTCAGTAGTTTTTGCGTGAAAGAGTAACAAACATCCATCCATACATACAAACCATCGCGTTTATAATATAAGTAATTATTAATGATATTGGTAAGGATGGTACGGAACCCTTTGCGCGCGAGTCCTTCTCGCACTTGGCCGGTTTTCGTATCATGTCAAAGTAAACTTCAAAAAATATTGATAAGTTCCAGTATTAACGAAATGCCACTCATTGTCAAATCAAATTATTATATTTTAAATTTTAATTTTATCGCGTTGCATTTAGTTGTTTTTCTCTGAGGGTTTTGATGCTTATACAGTGATAACTAATATGACGAGTTTGAACCTAAAATTGCAATTATCAATTTCATTGGTGCCTACACCGTGATTTGAAGCCGGGTTGCTTCGGTATATTGAAATAAATGCGAGCGTATGAACACTGAGCTATCACGGCTGTGAATTACTTTTTTTAACAACACAATTACAATATAGCGTGAAGCGACTTACGCAGATGGACGCTCAGTACAGCTCTTGTAATGTTGTAAGCCCTTTACTGGATAACATTACAATAATATAATAAATGTAAATAACAATAATAATAATCATCATAAAATAACTGCGGAAATGTGTATTTTTGTGGTTCTTAATAATGTTATAACTCACAAATAAAAAGGATATACGTAGTTACGTCTTTCCAAGGAATAATAATAAATTTAATTAAAACAGTAAGGTTTCTTTGAACTGCAAGGACATAAAAATTTAAATTGAATTCTTGTTGTAGCAAAAAGCGCTTAGCAGGGTTTGCTATAATTTTCTCAACATGTTTAATTCTTCCGGTGGGTGGTGGGTTTACCGGGAAAGAGCTGTTTCTAAGTAATATTCGTCGGCTATCTCTTTTCATATTTTCCTCAATACCTCATAAAAACCACGTTATCACTAAAAGGTTTTAGTGTATGTTGTAAATTGTAATGTACAAGTAGCAATTATTTTTATTACAGCTTCTTTGAAAGATTTTTATAATGGAATTTTACACGTTTTATTGCAAATATTGTGCAATAAACTGGACCCTGGCGTGATCAATGCCGCCCGAAATTCAATACTTATTCGCTCTCCCGTGCAATGCAAATGTTCCGCCTCGACAACTGAAAATGCATTCCCCATTCTCGACTGTATTGTCGAATCGTTACATCAGATGGGAAAGTCAAAATAAGCGGCAAAACATACATTTTATTGAATATGGTTTCTATACTATGTTTATTTTATATTTTTGATTATCACACAGTGACACCTTTAGGAAATTCTTACGAAAAATGAGGGTTTTTGCTAAATCGAAATCAAAGAAATTCTAGTGTGGTAGTATTACAACTATGGTACTATAAGAGTCTGCAAAAGTGGATACAGTACGAGCCTGCAGAATTAGATACTTCTGCAGGCTCGTCAGGGGAAGTACCACGGCCTCGCAGAAGACCAGCGTGAAGTTGAAGTATTATACTTTCGCGTTTCGTCTGGTTAATGAGGTAAGCAGACACATTTTAAATGGTTGTCAACGCATCTACAACACCTGAGGGGTTGCGATGGCGTTGGGCGGCGGTAATCACTTGTAAACAGGTGACTCACATGGTTCGCTTGACAACTTTTCACATAAAAATGCTAAGTTATAGCTTTCAACAACCGTGAGGTCTATAGAATTCTGCAACTCTAAGGCTTGAGAACAGCTTATCTCTTGTCACATATCTCTTAACAGCTTGTCTCATATCTCTTGGCATTATTGTCAACTGTAAGCTGAAGCCGAGGCCACTAAAAATAAACTACGAAACAACAGCGGTGACTAATCCGCTTATAATAATGGACTCCCGGGGGAGGGGCCGCCCGCCATTTTGGTTTACATTCTGTATAAAATTCATAATATGGCATTTTATACATTCTATCCCTTGTAAATTTTTAAGTTGTTATTTTGTAGCGTTCTGACAGTTAATTTACTTATGTCTAGTTCATGGTTTTCTTCGGAATGTAGCGATTAAATAAATTAAAGGAATATTTTTGTAGTACTGAATCTTAACCTTTTTCTGTTCAAAATTTTTCTTTATTATGTAACCTAGCTAATCTATCTTCATTTCTTCGTCAAATTGTTTCTAGTCTCTCGTCCTCTCAAACCAAGCAACGCTTGTACTATGGGTACTTCTACTTATGTTTTTTATATATTTTTATAACTTTGAAATATACTTTTTTGTAAATAAATACATAGATATCCAGACACTGAAAAAACACTATGTTCATCACACAGTTATATGGATCGAACCCACACTTTCTGGCACAAGAGACAACCGATTGGCGTAGCTTGTTATGAAATTACATATTATATAAGATACATTCATAGACGTAATTAATATAAGAAAATATACTTCTTTTAAATTTCCTTTTTTTTTTTCATTTTTAGGAATTAATAATATAATTCGTTAATTGATTATATTCGTTAAGTTAATAATTTGGATTAGAATATGAAACTTATTTATTATATTATTACATATATACGAAAGTGCTGGCTCGACGGGCGTAAAAGTGGAAATATTAATTATTTTGTATATAGGGTTTTTGTTTGGTGGCGACACCGTTAAAGCTTGGCAGTAGAAAAGCAATAACACGAGTTTTGTAAGTATTGATGGGCTTCGGTGGTTAAGCTGGGCAGGTTTAAACGTAAAGTAACAGCTGTGTGTTTGCTGTTGGACAAAAGCTTTCTCTATAGAGAGGTTATTAGAGAATAGGATACCACGCGATCCCAGTGCGGATTGACAGACTTCACATATCTTCGAATTTTTGTTTTGTAAATATTTCATTAATTTTATTTTATCATGACAGGTATATATGTGATGATGTTACCTATACCTTGTTATCTTTTCTTTGAGACAAAACTCACGGATTTTGCATTTGAATCACAGCCAGAGCTTGTCTGTGTAATAAGACACGGTCGAATCGATTTTGTCTTTAAGTAATTGCATCCTGCTTTCAAAACATGTTAAAGTAAACGGAAACTATGACCTCAAATAGACGATATTTTGTGTACCTACCATGTGACTGATCATTAATGCATTTTGTGTAACTGATACCTAATATCTGTGGTCCATTTTGTCTACATTATGTCTGTTAATTTTTTTTACCTTTCCTCTTAATATATTTACATTTTTATTTATGTGAATTTGGGTAAATAAATAATGTAATATTAATATAATTTTTATAATTTTTATTTCATTATTTTCACATATTTTTAAATTTCAGTTAGGAAAGTTATTTATTGTTTAATACCCTTGACATGTTCCGTATTAACATCGCTTCACTTTTTAATACGAAGCTGCTAAAGTTTTTCACGGCTTATATTCGATGGAAGCATTGTCATTGCATAAAACCTTTGTTGCCTGGCCGCACAAACTTATTCATACTTTGTTAGATAATAAAATAAAGATTAAAAAGAGGATATTTGTAATGAAAATCCTTGTTGTTATTACATCATCACCACATTCTACCACTTTATATTCTTTTTACAGTCTATTTTATTCCTTATTCGCTTAACCCAGATTAGTTGGGGAGAGTTTTTTGATAAAAGAGTAGAGTAAAGTAACGGGCTATACATGTCCCACAGCTGGGCAAAGGCCTCTGTACAGATGGTATTAGAGCACAGTCCACCACGCGACCCCACTACGGATTGGCAGACTTCAGATACCTTCTAAACGTTTTTTTTTTCGAAATTATGCAGATTTCCATACAATGTTTTCCTTCACCGATTAACAATTTCATTGGAGCTCCCACCGATTTGAAGGAGCTTGCTCGACTATATTGAATTAAAAGCAAGCGCCCGGATACCTATATCTTTATCTTTATCTATACCTATTATCTTTGTGCAATGATATCAAATTCTATGGCGCAAATAAGTACCTACATATCTTTGTAAGCTAATTATAAATTTAACCGTGTAAGTTGATTACGCTGCCTCTTTGCTTATTTTAACCGTTGTGAGCACAAGTGAAGAGAAAATGCAGAAAAATAAAAAAAAAGTTGAAAATTAACGTAACTTTTGGTACTTACAAATTTTCGCGAAAATCTAAAATTTGCTCATATCTTTTTATCGTGGTGAAGACTATATCAACTTGCTAGGTCCACCATGAGAAAATCGGTGTTGATTTTTACCAATTTTACTATGGGTAGTTACGGAACCCTCAGCATACGAGTTCGATTCGGGCTTGACTGATTTTTTTAAGTGTAAAATAAACATAAAATGAGACGGACAAAATTTATGTAAGGTATCAATAGAATATTTTTATAAACTATTGATGTTTATAAGGAATAATAAAAAAATTAATGGTAAGTGTAATTTCTTCTCTTAAATAAGGATAAAGGAATAATATTATTTGTGAAGTTATTGTTTGTGTAAACAGGTTTATTCTAAACTTTCACAAATTTAGTAGTGCAAAGTTTTTCGCAATGTTAGTAAAATGATGTTAGAAAATAAGTATGAACTATGTACGTTGCGAATCGTATGTTAAATAACACGAGTCTAATCCTCTAGTCTAAAGCGGACCCCATATTTACATAACTAAAAACGTTAAAGAACCCGTAACAAGAAAAAATAAAAAAGAGCGTTTAACGTTAGCGTAACCACAAAGTCATTAATTCACTCTTTTCAATTAACTACATCGGTAGATACTCCTACATTAAGGCTATTAGAAACGTTAGTCGACTGATATAGCGGACGACAGCCGTTATTACAAAATTGTGCATTACCAAATTATAAGCACACGACCGCGACGTTCCTCTCTCCGTTTGGAATGAAAATGAAATGGATATGTGACAGTAATAGTGATTGCGCACATTAAGTGCATATTTGTGTAGAGGGGTTTGGCAATAAGCAGTCATGTGAGTCCCGACCTAGGTCGGTTGGTCTCGCACACTGTACGAGCCCTTAGGTCGCGATGTACCGCGCAGCCGCCGTACGCCCTCCCCGCACGCAGGGACGCCCACTGTATTTCAGATGTACAAAACACACGGCCAATGTAAGTGCGCTTTTTATTCTCGGCCAACTTGCTTAAATATTTTTAACCACTCGAGTGAGGTCACTTGATCTTTTCACGTGTAGAATTTTGAAAAGTTCATGTTGTGTTCTTACGACACGGTTCAGGATTTCTTGTACGATCCAAAATTCTAAACCAATATATTGAAAGTTTCGCGTGCTCAAATTTGTAATAAATGGAGACAGTATAGAATTTCTTTATTGATAAACCGACCTCGAATAAAGTGTCATGTACATGTTCTTTATACCTGTGCCGTGACGTACAAAGTGCAAAGCGTAACGTACAAATCAACGCAGCGTGTGTCGCCGAGCGCGTTTCGCGGACTCGCTGGGGATCGCGGCGCCCTGCGCAGAGTGGGCGAGCGCGGGCTAGGGCGGCGCAGGGGTGGGCGCGGCGGCCGATTCATGTTTACGGTGCCCGAGCGTCAGCTGTTCGGCACATGAATGCGCCGCGCCCGCGCCGCATCGATTGATTGATAGCACGTGCGGCAGTCCCGCCGCGACCGCCGGCCCGTCCGCGCGTCACGCCCGCCCTCATGTGACCCGTCCGACCCGTCAATGGATTGCCCGAGGTGACCTGCGTCCCGCCGTCAGAACGCACCACACGTAAGCACCCAGCCGTCAAGCTTTTCTCCCTCGCAACCAACAGCCGGAAGCGACAATTACCGCGGCTGCGCCGTAAGCTGTTTACCGCTCCGGGGGCCCGCCGCCTATTTCTTCCGGAGGCGGTGTTTTCTTCTTCTCACCTATCGATCCTCCCGGCCAGTACGTTTTCGACCGGATATTTATGAAATCCTAGGTGTGTTTACGTAACCGAAGGACGGTCCTATGATGACGGTAAAGACGAACGCGAGGAGGTGCGTTTGGGAGGATGCGGAATGAATTGTTTTATTACATTGCTTTATGTTTCCCTTATTGACTGTACATAGACTTAAGAGATAAAGGAAAAATGCAAGGGATATAACTGTATCAATCTAAGCATATCAAAAAAATAGGACATTAATTTTATTGCTACGGATAGAAAATGATCGTGACTGAAAATTTCGATATTGTTCTACATGTTGCTGCTATAATATCTTAAAAGGAACTCGAACAGATCTAAGAATTCCCTATAAATTACAAAGAGTATTTTTTTTACCTTAAGGAAAACTTTCCTCAATTTTGTTAATAGGGTAAATGTATAACATTTTTCCGCCAGTACTCGTGTCATTAGCAAATTGGCTTGCGGAAAACCTGGCAAACAAGCTACAGACATTTCATAACTCTTCAATTAGCAAGCGATGATATACATCCAATTTATCATAGAAAAGCGGATTTGTTAACATACTTCGACTTCTTTTGTTACTTACCTCTTTTATACAATTTATCTTAAGTTAAGTATCAAAGAGGTTGAACAACTATTTGTTATTGTCCTTGAAGAATGTTTCAATTTAAATGAGTGACGGTGCCTTGTAACGTTATATAACTGCTTGGTAGATAGCAGGTACGATGACAGCGTCTTTAGTTCGGCGGAGTTTTCTTTTTAACCAGAAGAACAAAATTTGAAACACTAGTATTTTTGTTCAAATCTATTTGGAAGGTAAACTGTTGATACGAGTAACCGCTTAGTAAAATCTCTCAATGTATTCAATTCATATCAGGAATACAAAATTTGCACTTCATGTGTTCCTGTTAATTAAAGAATTGAGAACATTAACCAATGATAATGCAAAAATTAGCTTTCCAAAATTCATTAGAGTCTAGATATATAATAAATTAAAAATGGTCGAAGTACCTTCTTTAATTTATTGCCTGCTTCACTATAAGAATTACAACACATTACGGTCACACATTTGTTTGATCTTTTTAATGGGTTCTAGTAATTAATTAAAGTGTCATATTTGTTATTTTCCTCCAACAGAAGAGACAGACTTTTCTTCATCGTGGCTCTTTTTACTATAGAACAATGTCTCTGTTCTTACTACTTCATAGAGTATAACCGAGATAAATAGTTGTACCAGCATGCAATCGTAGATAAAACACATCGGTAAAAGCCTATACAATCTTGTTTGAAAATATACTATGAAGCAAAACTTACTAATTCATAGCCGGTTTAAGAACGAAAATTCTTGCGCAAAGTTAATATTTTGATTTACGGATGAAAAAAGAATAATAAATGCTGAGGTCTGATGATGGTGATGATAAAAAAATGTTGATGTAATCATAATCACCAGCCTGTTGGAACTAACTGTGTGTTCATTTTAGAATATCATCAATGGTAAATCGATATGGGTGATTTATGGTTTTCCACACCTCCAGGGTAGGTTCAAAGTTTAACAATGTATTAAGTTAATTTTCAGTTCGAAGTTATGAATTGGCTTCCGACGCAATATTTTGCATTCCTACAGTTAATTAGTACTCACGTTTAAATTTCGCTATTCGACTACGATTCGAACGTACTTAAATGATGTCGTAGTTGGAAACTAAAATTATGTATATTTTGTATAGATTTGTGAAAAAAAGTAAAAACATTCATAACTTTATTGACGGCTTCGATTTCTCTAGCTTAAAATATAAACGAATAAAACCCGTTTTACATTGTTAGCACTTTTGATGACACCCTGGCGCAGTTGCCAAGGCATTGGCTGCGGCGCCGGAGGTCATAGGTTCGATTCCCACACGAGACAACTATTTGTGTGATCCACACATAATTGTTTCGATCTGGGTGTTTGTCCACATGAAATTTATGTTATATCTGTAAAACGTCTATACAACGAAAGGGCACTGTTTAAAAAAATCAGCCTCCTAGTCCAACATTAAATTAGTACATTTTTAACAGACGATCTACTTATGTAGAGCACTTTTAATCTAAGGATTTTTACACTAATACATACTAAAAAAACAAGTTTATCAAACGAATCACTTCGTTCTCGCACTAGCGTTCTTCATCATTCTTTTTGAAAAACTTAAAACAAATTTGTCATTTATTCTAAATTCGTCTAATTGCAAAAACTTCTCAATTTGACGCTAACAAGGAGTTCCAATTAACAAGTGGAGGAAGCTTTAGAGTAACGATTCGATTTCCCCCTATACTTCTATTCAACCTTAATGTATTTCAATAACTACGCCCACTTATACGCTTTCGCTGAGGAGCCCAGTCCCGAGAACATTTACGTACTGCCTTTTAATAAAATAAGCCTCCATGTTGCCAAAAATGATTAAGTGGCCCATGAATAAAATTACGCGAATCGCTACGGACTCACTAATGCCGTCCATCACGAAATACTGCTTTACATTTATTCCTCGCTAGTAAATAAACAACTTCTTTTCCGCGTTGCAAGTCGAAGGTGAGTGTGTTTTAGGGCTCACAAACCCAAAGCGTAAAACGGGACCCATTACTAAGACTCCGCTGTATGTCTGTCTGTCCCTCTGTCACCAGGTTGTGTCTTATGAACCGTGACAGTTGAAATTGACAGACAAAATACATCATGTATTTCTGTTGCCGCTATAACAACAAATACTATAAAGCAGAATGAAAAATTATTTAAATGGGGCTCCCATACAACAGACATGATTATTTTGCCCTTCGTGCGCGAGTGCAACTCGAAAATGGCCGGTTTTTACTGAAAACCTCATTGAGGCCTGTGAGCTCTTTGAAAAGTTTCAATAGTGCAGCCAAACTGGGGAGTGAATTGTAATCAGATTACGTTTTATTACGTGCCAGAACTCTTCGACGGTGTACGTTTTCACCCGGGTGAACTCTGATTTTCTTTGCAATGACAAGTTAGTAGTATAATATAACATTTTTAGTGACAAAAACAAACTTACAATACATTTTCCATTTGACTTTGAGGACCTTCTCTCATGTATCTCCAGAGTTCAAGGTTCAGTCAATGACTAATAGGGACCACATGGGAGTTACACCGAATTCTTTTCTTTTTTTTTTTTTTTTTTAAAACATTGCCCTTACTTTAGGATATCATTATCCTGTGTTGTACAGGACGTTTTACACACATAAATTTCACGTGGACAAACACCCAGATGCGAAACAACTATCTGTGGGTCGCACAAATAGTTGTCCCGTGTGGGAATCGAACCCATGACCCCTGACACCGAAGCCAATACCTTGGCGACAGCGCCACGGAGTCATCAATTCAATGCAAAAATAAACATAAAATTATATACAATCAAAATAAGAGCCTTGAACTGAGATTTTTTTTAAGAAATTGAGAAATTTTAAGTCGGTTGAAAATTACCATTGCACTTCGATATAAACATAAACTTTTCAGTCTACATTTTTATCCTGTAAACTATAAAAATAAAATAAATTATATGTCACAAACAATTTACAACAATAATAGCACGAACACCTGGAAATATTAATAATAATTATTTTATTATAACAATTTACAAACATTAATCTACATCTACGCTCACTTGGCGGACTGTGTCTTACATTTATGTATATGCTCATACTATTTAACCGACTTCAAAAAAGAAGGAGGTTCTCAATTCAACTGTATTTTTTTTATGTTTGTTGCCTCATAACTTTCAACTGAGAGTACCGATTTTGATTTTTTTTTTTTGTATTAGAAAGCTAGTGCTTCCCATGTTGGGACCACATATTAATTACAATAGTATCGGATCTTGGGCTGCGTACATAATTAGGGAACTCCTGAAAATCAATTATAAAATGAATAAAGAGCGAGACATTTCGATTTTGTTTTTCGTTAATAAAATAATGTACTCGTCATGAATTATAAAACGAACCATAATTCTTAAAGAACTTTCAATAATTAGCGCATGCACCTACAACGTTGCAAATGTACAACTATAGTTTGTGAAAATTTTGCTCGTAGTCGCCTTGACTGCACAAATGTTCCCAAAGGGCATACCATTCAGAATGCTGCCGACAAAATGCAGTGTCTTCGAATACCTGTCCATTCCATGTCGACGTTAGACGTTACGTTTGAAATGCCGTACAGCCTTTTCGATTACCATTAATAATATATAGGCGTCGGCTCATTTCATTGTTGTGCTCCACGATACCTGTCGACCACTTCGTGACATTTTAAATGTTCCGTAGTAATTCGTAACGATACGTGATTTCATATTATATATTTATACAAATAACACAGGGCCCTATAGGTCATATTTGGAAATACAACTATTATTGTAATTTTGTTAACTGAGTATTTTTGAAAGAAAAGATCGTTTTATAGAACCGTATTTATTTAATTTGTTACTTTAATAATTGAAGTACCCGTGTAGATAGTTATTATATCAACACGGGTACTTGAGAAAAAATAAATTGAGTATTACGACCCTGGTTATTATAAATGTATACCTTTTTTTACACCATTTTTAAAGATTTACTGATGACAGTGACATACTACTATTTATTAACAATACAGCTTCATTAGTATTA